GAGACACGGAGCAGACAAAAAAGGAACTGGTCTCAGACTGAAAGCGGGAGACGCCCAAAACAAGGCTTACGCTGTGACTGTTGATCTCGGATGTTCCGTTCGAGCACATGGGGAAACTGATATATCACCGTCTGAGGGCTCTCTCTTACCTCTTATCTCGTGCTGTGACTCTACGGCATAAGTACTGCTACAGACGACGGAGGATACCGGTAGGGGACGCTCCGCAGCGCAGCTACAACTGGATGGATATGATCAACTATAACTCTGGACAAGATGGAGATCCTCCGCAGAGAGAGCGTTTAAGAGTGGGCTACTTCTTTCCAACCTATCCATGGGTTGAATGCCAAAAATGCACTCAACAGAATATGGACTGAAGGAGGCAAAAAAAAAAAAAAAGGAGCCATCCAAAGAGCCATCCAAAAAGACCATGAACTAGCCTACGCCCCTTTTCCGCGTGGATCGAGGCGTTTTTTTTTTCATTCTCCTTATAAGCACACACAAGGAATATACAACTTGATGAGGTTTAACTTCGTCATCCCTGCTTAACGCCCGTCCCTTGCGAGGAAGCTGATGGGAACATCTCGGCTTCAGGGGGGCTCTGTGTCGCGTGGCTTTGTTTCAGGTTTCCACAAACGCTAACTCTAGTGGACCTTCCTCCTTGTGCTCTCCTTTCTTTTTCTCCTCGTTGGCTACCGAAGTTTGCTCTACTGAGTTGTCTGATGGCGTCACCTCCTGGCCTCGGCATACGGTACTGCATTTTGATTCCGTATTAGGAATTACTACCACATACAAAGACGGCCAGACAGTCATAGTATAGACAGGGCAGGCAAACAGGCAGACGGGCATGGCTCCCCTGCCCGGTGCAGATGTCAATGCAATCTCTGCGTCATCCCTTCGATCGCACAAACAAGTCCTTAACCCTTGCCCTTAGTTAAGCACTTAAGGAAAAAACTTTTTGCATGGCTGGCTGCCAAACCTGCACTGGAAGGACGGACGGTTTTTCTCCCCTTAGACCGCCGTGAACCCGCGAGCTGGCTGCATGCAGGTGCCGTCGACTCGTCCAGTCCTACCCTTATCTCTTGTCCTTTCTTGCCTGAGGTCATTAACCTATCATGCAATATCGGCCTTGGCCAGCCGCCAGCGACATATCGCGCTGAGTTATTATTATTCCTCTATTCGACTGCCAAAATATGCAAGCATTGCCGCGGCCGTTTCAACCATCCCATCACCTGCAGCATTATTGTCAATCTTATGTTGGGCTGCGATCAGATGTTCATCTCTACCCGAGCAAATCCTCCCTCGCCGTTGGACAGCAAGGGGGGAGTATCGGCAGTTATGGGCACGTTGAATTCCCTTTTTTCTGCGGAGGAGCTCCCGTTCTCCCTGTTTCAACCCCGACTTGAAGGAGTTCTTCGGCCATAACTTACCTCTTATCCTCAAATCTTCCGCAGGAACTGAGGTGTAAGTGTACTTATCTAACTCCAGGTGAACTCGGCCTGTACTTTCGCAGGGTGTCAACTCAACGGATACTTACCCGAAACACCCCTGTTATGTAGACTCTGCTCCGTACAAATCATCCCGGAAATCTACGAAATCTCTGTAGACTTTGAGTCCTGCCAAAGCTCGCAATTTTGGCCACCATTTCCCTTCCTCCCCTGCTGCTTGGTAAAAGCCATGCTGTCGGTTGGATCTAGACTTGTCTATAGGCAGGCATGGTTACATGCTTGATCATGAACTCGGTTGCCGAAGGGGTTGGTTGGCGCTTAATATTGGGTTATTAGAATGGAGACAGACGAGCCCTTCAAGCATTCAACCACCTGTTATCGTATTATCTGGGCCAGCAATCTTCTCGATGTGTCGAAGGAGACACATCTCGGATAGAAGACCTAGTCTACACAGCCGAGACCTCTAGCTCTGGTATCCCCTCTATTATGGAGTATCAGTAGAGAGGGTCTCTTAGCGATAGGATCCATCTCCCAGAACCGACCCAGCTGCATCTTCCAACCACATCATCTTTCTTTCGTCCAGCTCTATTTATATCGCCGGCAGTACGGAGTAGAAAGGTTGATCTGCCTTGTCCCTCACCTCCGATTGCTCTGCTGTGGAATCAGTCAATCAGGGTAAACTAGCGCCAGTTGGACAGAGCAAAGGCTAAGAAATGCGGTCTCTCAAGGTCCCATGTCTAAATCTCCAGATATGAGGTGATAACATTGACCCTTCTGAGGTCAAGTAAGTCGATACTCTGTACGGAGTACTCCGTGAAGCTCGAGTAAAGAGAGCTGATCTCCCATTTATTTACTCTGGCCAGAAACCCACCCCTTTTATCCCGTCTTGCTCTGTATACGAATCCCTCCCTGGCCAGTCGGAAGACGAGCCAGAAGATACTTGAACGCCCTGCTGCGATCAAGGTCACTTCAAGGACATGGATCCTGCGCTTAAATACCTTATTTTATCCCGGAGAGAGCCTGCTTCGTTGCTAAACATCTGTGTCTTTCCCGTGTAGCGAGCGAACGAGAGCCTGTCCGGCTCAACCCCATTTAAGGCTCGCGATCTTCAACGCTATCAGCGCTCATCAACACAATCTCATCTCCACCGCTAAAAACTCGAACTGCAAACGGAATAGCCATTATTATTGCCCAAGATCAACGAATGTCTCTTTGTGGCGACTGGTTGGAGATTTCTCCTGCTCTGCGGCGAAACTGCATTATTACCGAGACTCTGCTTGTGATAATCTACACTGTCAGCCAGTGTGCCGGGACAGACCTCTTCTCGTATAGCCAACGAGCTAAGAGATTCGGATGAGATCAGCTGCCAGAGATACCCAATCTGTTCATCTTTTTCGAACGAACATGGACAACCTAGGAAGTACGCCCATTGCACCGTCAAATGACAGACGGCATGCGAAACAGAAAGGGAGACCTTAATATTGAATATATATTGACCCTCTCATCCCTGGACGATAACCTCCAGCTGGCCATTGTAGGACCCTGGAGCTGGCTCTAGGGGCCAAGTGTCGGCTATCAGGTCTCAGACCAGAGATTGACCTCTATCAAGCTGGATCCGCAGCCCGAGAAACTCCAGGGCCTGCCCTGAATAATCCTAGCAAAACGACACCAATCGGTTTTCACGAGCATGATGTTTTTAAGCAGTACATCCACTTAGAAACCTCGGAGCAGAGGCCCTTCTTTTCAAGGAGGCTTGAGTTCGCTGGCCAGAGCCATCATACAAAGACACTTGTCAGACAGATCCGATATTTTTAACTATCACCACGCCGCCAATCTATGGTTAGTCTACACACTAACTAGGATGCGGCAAAAAATATATTGAATATTTTACGATATCCGCTGAGGCTTCCTTTCCAGATACACATCTCTCTGGCTTCTACTTTCCGTTCAACTAGCGGATGCCTCCTTTACTCAACCGCTTAAGCATTGAAGTAGATCATGCTTATATGAAATACACATCGGGAGATCCATCTCGTTTATCGACCTCCGTTATGTTCCAAGCTGACTGACATATCTTGCATTGGCACCTGCCAGCCACGTATTTCCACTGGGCGGTACGCAGTATCGATGGCTCGATGGCAATTTACTTTATTCAGAGAGGCCTCTGCTTAGCATCGTCGCAGATTCGCCATCAAACATGACGGTGGCTGGTTCCATGTCAAAGCAGATGAGAAGTTTACTTCGTTACTGCATGCTGCTCGCCCAGTTCGTGAAATTCTTGAGGACTGCCTGGGATATTGCGGGAAGAGAAATATATCAAGTGCTAGGCGTTAACTAGTTATTGAAGCCCGGAACTTCCGGGAAACCATCTGTGCTTCTTCTATATCTCTATCGGAGATTGGATGGCCATATGTTGGTCTCCCCTGAACACACGATAGCCCGTACTAGACCACTGTCGCCTACTCCATATCCCTGCACAAATTTCATCTTTATCCCTGTCCCCTCCCGGGGTAGCTAAATAGTCACCCAACTAACGAGCTAATCAGGCGGCTTTTCATTCAAAAGATTTAATTAAAAGCCCCAGTTCGCCGTGAACTCGTTAGTACGCAACTATTTCGGTGTAGCCATCTAGTCGTGAGGTGGACCCGCAAATCTTCGTTTTTATAAACGTTTTTACCCCTGAGCGAGAGCCGACCATAAAGACAACCCTGCGGGGCACTTCTTCATGTCCTTCGATCTCCAGCCTGTCAAAACATCGCTAGAGGCCTCTGCATGCGCCCCGATTTAGTCGGTACCAAAGTTTTGCCGCCTCTTGTATTGCTTGTATCACAGTCGAGGTGGCGGATCCCAGCAACCATTGAACGATCTCCATTCGACGAAAGTGCATAATCGCATTTATATACAGCTACTGGCTTCGGACAATTATGTGCAGACGTTCTCTTGCAGTCGGTGGCGCACCAAGTCCAATAGTTGCCTGCAGATCTGGAGTCAGTGTTGAAATGCAGCCTGTTTCGAGAATAACGGCGGCTTCCATTATGCCGCTCAAGAAAAGCAAAGACAGTTTGCCGCTGTTTATGTAGATACATTGGGAGACATATAGTCCCGCTCATCCGCAAGCCGTCTCATTTTCATGAGGCCTCTATCTTTTCCTGTGTGCAACGGAAGTGTGTCTTGTGGGAGCGTCCAAAGGTGTTTATATCAATTATAGTATTGTTCAGTGCCGGAAATGCGCTTCCTGTTGGTATTGAGCCTGGCCTCGATGGCTTTGGCATCGCCTATTGCTACCTCGCATTTGATTGCAAGAGATGAAGTTTTCCCTCGGTGTGCGGTAAGAAGGCCTGCCATCTAGTTGAATTTGAATATGATATAATGAACGACAACTAATACACTCCTAGACCGATTGTCAGAGCCAAATCATTGCCGAAGCTGGGACACAATGCTCTGCCAAAGATATACCCTGTCTCTGTGCAGACGACGCATTCCAGGGAAAGGTTGCCAGTTGCATATCATCACACTGCACGGGAAGTGAGGCTTTGAGTAAGACTTCCCTTACTCCTTACTTCAGGCTGTTCGGCATCCTAAGATAATATAACATAGTGGCAAAGCACCTCAGCTCGCAGGCCTGTGGTATCATCACAAAACCACGATACGCCGAAGTAGATGCAGGCACGCTTATCCCTTTCCTATTTGCCAGCTTCTTTTTCTCAGTTAGGATCGCATCTAAGGCGATGCATTTGGGAGGTGGATGGGGTGCTGACGATTATACCATATCTGTGGCATATGTAAGGCAGACTCATCCCACGTACCGTCAACTTCTTTTTATTAATGATTGTAGCTACTTGCTATCGTGATTTATACGCTACACACTCAAAGTAAGATCAACCAACCCCCAAGACATATCTAGGATATAGTGCTAACCAGCTATCTAGTGATCCATTATGGCTTTGGCAAAAACATATGGGACGTTATTCCACAAGAAGATTTAACAATAGCCTTCAAGGTTCGGCTCGTCCGTACCCAAAAGGAAATATGGGGAAGAGTGCTGACCATGAGTAAATAGGTCTTCTTCGCATACGTCTTAGTATATAAGTCTCTGATATCCCTCGCAAAGATATCTGTCGGTCTCTTCCTGCTGCGGATCTTCAGGTCGACTCCTTTCCGTTATGCTACATATACTATTATTGCACTCAATGCGGCAATTGGAATCACATGGATATTAGTTGATGCTTTCCACTGTGTCCCTGTCCAACTAGCGTGGACCTCGTGGAAGATGGAGGAGACGGGCACTTGCATCAACTTCATGACCTCGACCTATGTCAATGGGTTTGTCAACATCGCTGTTGACACTGTCATGGTAACTATGCCAATATATGAGGTCGTCAAGCTGAAACTATCCCGCCGCAAGAAGGTAGGGGTTGCAGTGATGTTTGGAATGGGTCTATTGTAAGTTTATTTGGCCGATTCTCACTGCTATTTCCCACAATAAACTAACGTGTCTGCTTAGGTTGACGGCCATTGGAATTGCACGAGTCATTATTCTGTTCCAGCATGATCCCACTACAAATCCTACCTGTGAGTTGCACCCAGATGCTCCGTTTGTTTTAAAGAGCCCACCCTCTGACTATGTTTGATAGATGAAATGGCACCCCTGAATTACTGGTCTATGATCGAGTGCCAGATAGCTATTGTCTGCGCGTGTCTACCTGCCATACGGACACTGCTCATCCACTACGTTCCCGAAGTGTTTGGCCAAGCCACCGAGGCTGCGTCTCAAAAACGACTGAATGCTCCTTCAACTGACAACTCGAAGGGAGACGAGTATACCTCCAACTCCACCTTGGTCGAGTCAGGGGATGGTTACATTTCCAAGACCATTTCATATTCGGTCAACACTACGATAAAATCCGAGAACAGCCCCACGGAGCCATCTATAAATCTTGTTCAGGTGGATCGAAGAAGAGTATGAGATGGTACATTTTTCTTCCATTCACCCATACACGACCATAATCTTAATTGATAATATTTCACCGACTTATCTGTATATAATTAATGATATCAATACCAACTTTCTCTTCGACGGCGTTAAATCTCGATATCATAAGCTAGCACTTATAGTAGCTGGCTATGTAGATCTGATCAACTATGGATCTCCCTGAATTATATAGTTATATGAATAGTTGGCCCACCAAGTGATAGTGGATTCAGGGGGGCGGATCGATCCATCCAGTGGGTTTGTGGAGTGATGGTTATCCAGCAATGACAACTATAGATAGCCGCGAGTAACAAAGCCAAGTATGCTTCTCCAGTAGGATTTCTACATTGATAATACCGGCATCTTAATCGATGTCAGACACGTTAATCAGCCATGTGGAGAATCGAGTACGATGCAGGGTCTCGGATGGCAACCGAGAAGCCGACAACCAACTCCTCGGCTCCAAGGCGTCAGTGTCTCAGCCTCAATATCAGCCGAATATCTCCTTTCTCCAGCTCGACAGTGAAAGAAGCAAACAACCAATACTAGTCATAGACCATAAACTAGTTAATTGTTTCATCATGGCCCAGCAAAAGCCCAAAGTACTATGTCTAAGCTATCCCGAGTTCACGGATAAGGCGTACCTCGCTGACTTCGAGACCAAATTCGAGCTCCACGTCAGTCTAGTCTCTCGTCGATATACAAACATACTTTCACAAGAATACCATATACCTAACAACCAGGATACCAGTCCCTTACATCGCTCGCCCGCGCCGGCCTGGTTCCCGAACTAGCGGCCCGGGTGCGCAGAGATGGGCCCTTCGACGCCGTGATCGTGCGCATAGGCACCATTGTCTTCGAGCCATTTGACGCAGAGATGCTTTCCCCTTTACTCCCCGACTGTCGCATCATAGCCTCTGCTTCGGCAGGGTATAATGAATTCGACGTAGACTGGATGACCCGCAACGGAATATGGTTCTGTAACTCGCGCAACGCTGTGTCAGAATGCACGGCTGACATGGCTATATTCCTCATCCTGGCCGTGCTGAAGAATGCTTCTGTTGCGGAACGGTGTGCGAAAAGCGGGGTTTGGCGGCAGGGCATCGAGGGCGTTAGTAGGTCTCCTCGCGGGATGGTGCTGGGTATTATTGGGATGGGCAGTATTGGGAAGGTAGGCTCGAGACGATATGTTGGGAGAATACATGCTAATTGATTTGATGTGCGGCTAGTATCTTGCTAAACGGGCAGACGTGTTGGGTATGAAGGTGGTGTATTACAATCGGAACCGCCTTGCGGAGGACGTTGAGAAGCAGTATAACGCCAGATATTGCTCGACGCTGGATGAACTGCTTGCCTGCTCGGATGTAATATCCGTCAATTGTCCGCTGAGCAAAGAGACTACGAATCTGCTCGGGCGTGAACAGTTCGAGAAGATGAAAGACGGGGTGTACTTTGTCAACACCGCCCGGGGACAGATCGTTGATGAAGAGGCATTGATAGATGCGCTAAAGTCTGGAAAGGTCAAGATGGCTGGTCTAGATGTGTTTCCTAACGAGCCTAACATCAAGTACGTTTACGAGGATTGCTATCTATATTTTGTCTATGTTCGTTAACGGCTAACGGTGTTACTGCAGTCCGCATTTCATGGAGAGCGACAAGTGCATACTACAGCCTCATCTGGGTGGGTACACTGACGGAGCCTTCAGGCTGTCCGAGCTTGAGTGCTTTGAGAACATCAAGGCATGGTATGCTACGGGAGTGCCCATCTCGCCAGTTAATAAAATTGAAAAGCAGACATAGATTAGACCTATGGAATGAATAAGAGTATGGTACTGGTAGTATATTTTACCAGCTCAAGGCTGGCAACCTAGGTAGATAGGACACAATATTCCTGTTATTAGCCGCCTATTGTCTTTCTTCGTCTTTTTGACGGGGCCAGGGAGCCACCCATGGACCGCTTTGGTCCTTTTTTAACCATCCCCTAATATTGGCGTGGATTGTAGAAGATAGAACAGCTTCATCTTGGAACCCATTGGTCTGAGTAGATGTTATCTTGGGTGGCTTGGTTTTGGTAGGCATTATATCCGTGATAATGCCACGGGGGCAAAGCACCGGCCTCATCCTGTAGAAGTGATGTTAGCATATTGCTTTCATCAAGTGATCAGGCATGACAGTCGTGATTTACCAGAAGCGAATGCATACTGTATGTATATGTATATAATAATTGGTATATTGATACCGAATACCGAACACGGAATGCCGAGGCACCCGAGCCAGACGGTCTGGATGTAGATCATGTTAGTTTTAGGGGGGTCACGTTGGTAGGAAATATTGGAAAGGGGGAAAGGGATAAGCAGTCAAAGAACATACCGGAGAAGAGGCTTACCACGGGCAAGCCAGTGTAGAAGCAACTGATTCAGTGTACTTATGTTGTTCCCGTGAGAATATATCGGGGCAATCGGCCGTTTAGAGTACTGTTCAAGATTGACAGACAGGCAGGGCGGCCATATATAGGCGGGAGGGCGTAGAGTCGACCTCAGATGCCCACTCACCCACGGCCCGGAAGATGTTTGCTTCCAGGCCGCGAGTGAGTGTGCGTCTATACCTATGTATGTGGGTATGTATATATATGTATGTGGACCGTATAATGAATCCCAGACAGGTAGATATACTAGATATACACGTGTCTGTAACCTTTTGACTGCCCCGGCAATGAAACGAAGTATATCCCTGGAGTCCACACAGAGAGTCAAGACGAGTGTTTTCTCTTTTGCACGGTACCGAGCTTATGGAACATACCCGAAGGTGTATATGTCATGATGAGGTGTAGTATAGTAAATATATACCTAGGTATGTATATATAGTAGAGTAAAACGTAAGTAGACGCTGGGATATGTCTCCGTTGTGGTAGTTTGGTAGATGGAGGAGAGAAGGAAAAAAAAAAAAGAGGAAGAAGAAGAATTGGGAAATCTGGGGGGAGGAAGGGGTTTTATAGCCCGGGGGAAGGGCAGCTGGGCTGTCC